TACCGAGAAACAACTCCAGCTTAGTGGTCAGAGCGGGACTTGAACCCGCGACCTCTGGATTTCAAGTCCGCGCCCTAACCACTCGGCCAAGCTGCCTCCTACGAACTTTTATGCTAAACAAGAGGTGTTTGGTTACGAAGGCATACTCGCTCACTCTCTCACTCATCCTCTTCGCTCCTGTGACGGGACTGATATGGTAAGGCTACACTACATACTACACGCCCAATAGTTAAAATCAGGAATGAAGAGGACATAGCATGCGGGTGATTGTTCTCCTCGTTTTGAACAGTTTATCCTTATATCTAAATTTTTTTTTCACGACTTGACAAGCTCAGAACTCCTTCTCGACCTCCTGTTACAAAAATAACCTGGTAAAGCTGGTTTACATAGTAACGTGCTTGCATGAGAGTAAGGGATTTTACGGTAAAAGAATTCTTCATACGAGCCAAGTGGCTCATCAAGCCGCGCCGAGCTTATTCCGGTTTCAGTAGCATGAAGTGACTAGGAGTATCCCCCTGTCCATCACGGGGTTAGCCCCAGCATTAAATTCGCCGGTACCCATTTATACACCTGGGTGGAGAGAGGCACTGTGAGAGTAAAGTGTTTTGACCAAGAACACAACACAATGTCCCCGGCCAGGGCTCGAAGCCGGACCACTCGATCCGGAGTCGAGCGCACCAATCATGAGGCCACCGCCCCTCCCACAACGGTACATGGTTTTAATTGCAGCTCCTTAAGCCACATTAAATAAAAACATATTACACTGAAGGATATTGTCGAGGCAGTTCTTTAATTAGAGATAAAATAGCTATTTACATACAACAGGTGATAAAGGATAAACTATTGAAATATTCGTTTCCACTATTGTGAACGTATAATTTCACATTTTCAAAGTTGTTAGAACAAATCTCTTCAAATTTGATTATTTTCATTTGGAATGATGTTCGAATTAAGAAAAACTATAATTGCAAATACATGTATCTACACACTAAACTTTGAGTGATTTAACGTCATTGTACAATGGTGCAAAACTCATAAGCGTTAGACAATAAGCCCTATTCGTATTCGCGATAGTGGCCTGGAACTAGCTTGCAATAGAGGCTCATACGGAGGATGTCATTTGGATTTGAAATTAGCCTAAACTGCAAGCTAGTCCAATACGAGTCTTTAAACAAAAAGATTTAATAACTGGGATTTTGCAATCTCATCTCAAAATCTCTAACATATATAATAAAAAGACACGAAAATATCTAGAAAGACTGAGAAAACAGAATTATAGAATGGATTCTCCAGAATGAACAATCTTATCAACTTGAAACGTGAAAAACTTGAAATTCTGGCCAAAATTGATGGAAGTGCATCAGAAGCAATCTTAAGCAAGGAATTGAATTTTGAAACAGAAAGTTGAATTCCCAGTTGAAAATGTTGTACCTATTATAACTCCGCAAATAAATACTTTAACAATGGACAGAATCCGTCATTTCAAGGTAAAAACTTCACCCATAGGGCTAATTGACTAAAATAGGAGAAATCTTAATTTCCGTCAGGAATTGAAACGAGATGTGTTAAAGGAAATGTTTTCACAAGTCTCGTCTATAAGAAATGCTGCTCATTCTTTCTTGCCCTTTTTTTCCGTCTCCTGAATCTGATCGATCATCTTACGAGCATAATGAAGTCGACTGGCTAAACTCCTGCAGCATCCATGTTTCTCAATGTTCTTTAGAGGGAATGTACGGAATTTCT